GGCCCGCTCCGCCGCTCCCCCGGCACCCCCACCCCCGGGGAGGGCACTGACCGTCCCGATGCAGTCGGTGAGGCTGGGCGGAGGCGCCTTCGGCTTCGCTTTGCCGAAGAAGCGGTTCATGGCGGCGGTGCCTCGGTCCCGCTAACAGAGCTCCCCGCCGACCCGGAAACCCACCGACGGCCGGGCTCCGCCCCCCCCGAAGCGCTGGTACGGCGGCACGCCCCCGGACTTCCGCCCTCCTCGCGACGGCGGCGGGCTGCCATTGGCTGCGTGGGGCCACAGCGGGTGAGGGACGGCGATGACGTACGGGAGGCGGTTTTCTCCCTCAACACATACACACTGTGTCATCGTTTCAGTGGCACGGGGCTTGCGCCGCCTGTTCAACACCGCCGCCTACAAAAATCCCTTTTAAGTTACATCAGTACCGACATTCTGTTATTTTCCAATATAAAAGACCCGTAGCTGTAGAATCTTCCCCCATAAGATCAGTTCACACGATCTGTTAAAAAGTAATAGCCACAAAACCACGTGAAACAAAAGCATATTGTACTTATTTATTTTTCGTGTTAAGAACACTTATTTTCTCTTTTTTGTTCCCCCGTACAGAGGTTACTGAGGACCTAACATGTCTTTAGGTTTCACCCACTGATCAAACTGGTCTGACGTAAGGAATCCCAGCTTTAGAGCGGCTTCTTTCAACGTTGTCCCTTCTTTGTGCGCGGTTTTGGCAATCTTAGCTGCTTTGTCGTATCCTGTAACAAAACAAAACGAACAAGTTAGCCATTTGCGGTTTCAGAAGATTTGTCAGAGGTGAGAAAAAAGTGGGACATTTGGCGTTCAGAGAATTAATTTGCTGGGTGCTGCCACTACTGCTTAACTCGCAGTAAATGCACACCAAACGTTTACACCAACTGCTTACTTAAAGTGAAGGTAAATTCTGTTATTCTGCTCTTAATGCATTTAGATCAAAGTTTTATGTGACTTTCTCTTTAGAAAAAAACATCCCATATAGTAATCTTTCACTTTTCGTTATTATTATTAGCGGTCAGATCAGGAAGACAGGTACACAAATTCTCCCAATCTCTTTTTTGGACTCTCGTCAGAATTATTTTTATAATGCACTGGTATGGCCGCTGCAAGGAGGACACATCTTTTTCAACAGTACTAGCCGTTTGTGATGTTAAATTAACTTTTGGCCTGAGCCATGACTTGGTCTCCTAAACATTGTGACAATACAAATAATGTGCGCAAAATAACTTTACTGCAAAATATTTCAGTATAATGCTTTGAAAAGTTTCTGAGCCTTAAACCTACCTATATGTGGGTTCAGTGCTGTTACCAACATCAGAGATTCACTCATAAGTTTGTTGATCCTGTCTGTATTGGCTTGGATTCCAACTACACAGTTGTCAGTGAAAGAAACACAAACATCTCCAAGAAGTCTTGCAGAGTTTAAAACATTTTTAATCTAACAAAAAAAAAAGAAAGAAATACCAACTATTACATTCTGACATTAATAGCTGTACAGTCTGGCACTTTTGTTCATAACCATTGCCTCCCTTGCAATATCCACTTCCTTAACAGGCTATTTGTAGAAAAGAAGTACAGTAAATAGTACACCCTCCTCCTTTAGCAGGGTAAGCTCAGCCACTTCTATCTAAAGGAATTTGTGAGAAGCACTCAATAGCAGAAGTCTTGCATAAAGACGACCACAGTATGTATAATCATTTTGTCATAACAGTTCACAAATAACCAAGTAAAAAAATCCACGAAGGCATTTGATTCACTGTCATTTTCCCTCTCAGGTAATAATCATGAGAGGACATCTGAAAATACAAAGTACAATAATGTCTGGCATTAGTCCTCTACTTTGACAATCCACAACATGCCACTGTTGTTTTTTTGTTTTGTTTTGTTTTAAGAGAGGTGTCTGTTTCTACCAAAATTTATCTTCTGCTAAGTACATCTCTTGGCTGTTCAATATGATTTTTTTTCTTCTTCTTCAAAACCACATGCTATATGCTTAGAAGAAGTATGTTCAGATCAGCAGAAAAAAATGATTACCCTAAGCAGACACACTAAGGAAGAGACAAATACTGATTTTATTATAAAATTTCAATTTTCTTTCAATCATTTCTAATGAGCATAACAAAAAAGCCATATCAGTCAGTACAGGCTGTGCAGAAAAAATAACATATGACATGCTGCTTCCTTTGTGCCTCTTACAACAAGACAACGAAAACTCAAAAACCTTCCTTTTATTTCTATTTAGTATTAGGATCTTTTCTGCAAGCCAGCGTAATACTTTTTAAACTTCCACCCCTACCCTAACCTCTATACTATTCCTTCAACATCTTACACACAGTTCTCCACAATCTTCTGACTTGATGCTTTTGTTTATATTCTTTTCCTCAATTTCTCCTCTGTTTATTTTTTCCTTCTTGGTTGGTTTTAAGAAAAACAAACGAAAAAAAAAGTAGATAGCCCAAAGAAGAAAATAAGAGTTAGGACTTGGCATCAAAACATCCAAATTTCAGTACAAGGTGATTTGTAACACTCAATTAACTTGACTTTTTAAAATTAAATACACAGAAGCAGCAGTATGTGTCTTGATGTGTCCTGCTCACACTGTAGAAGGCAGACATTATTTTAAATATTGAAGTTTAAGAATAATCATTTACAATTTTACATTACTCACTTGCCAAAAGCATGTAATCCTTTGGTATTCAGTAGGAACAGAAATTAGTAACAGATAGTTGCTAAGGAAAAAAGAAAAATCCTCATTTCTAGCTAAAACACCAAATTCTCTTTGGCTTTGGAAAAAATTTTGCCTCAGTTTGTGTTCCTCTCTCCCTACTGCCGTAGACTGATGATAAGCATACATTGTTAAGATAAAAGCTAACCTGCATAAGATAGTTTCACATAAAAAAAGACTGCCTGTCAAAATAACAAAGACCATACAAAAGAATAAAATTTGTTCTCACAATTTATTAGCTTCTCTGGTGCTGATATTGACCAAATATTTACTGAGTTTTTTTCCCACGAGTTATCTGATTGTACCAACAATGATTTCAAAAGTCCTAGCTATTTAAAAAACTTTATGAACTTACCATCATGGGCTTAAAAACATTCAGTTCAAAGTGTCCATTGCTACCTCCTACAGTAACAGCAACATGGTTTCCCATAACTTGGGCTGCCACCATGGTTACAGCTTCACACTGGGTAGGATTCACTTTTCCTGGTTGTGGAAGGGAGAGAAAAAGGTTACCAAAGAAGAAGGAGAAAGGAAAAAAAAAAAAAAGAAAAAAGAAAAAAAAAACAAAAAACCACAACAAAAAAAACCCACCCACCAACCAAAAACCAGTACTTTCCTCATTTACCAAATCACATTCAACAGATGTTTTATAGAAGATAACACGTCTTACTCATCTGTATCTGTGCTCCACAGAAAAGAAATAATTTCGATAAATGATACTAAATTGACTGTACTAGTCTATTAATTCAGCTAGGATTTTTAAGACAGCTATGGATGCTTCAGCAATATACCAAGGCTTTTGTGAACTGGATCAAATGTGCATGAGCTAAGCAGGTGTTAATTACCACAGTTCTTAATAGCCAAGAGATTATAACCTGTCTTTACTTGTGCAAGTAGGCATTTCTGGTAAATCATTACCAAATCTCAGTCAACTTAAGAAAAGTACTACTAATTTGTTAGAATTGCTTTGTAATAAAATTAGTACACTATGTTTACTTTGTCAGGAAAAAAGAACAAAAATTAGTGGCCTCCTAACAAGGAAGTTTCATAGTCAATTTCATTTCTAGAAATAATCCTAATAAGAACATTCATTATCTGCTTTTTTTAAAGCCAGATATGCTCACGACCTGCTTCTTTTATAATTTATCATACAGGAAGAATATGCTTAGAACAGTGTTGGATGTGCAATATTCACATATACATACTTTTTTAGGAGAGAGGCAAGGAATGATTACTAACATTATTCCTTCCTTTCTTATCCTCCCATACAATGGGATCACTGCAGGAGGGAAAACGTGAGTACATAACACTATTCATGCTAGGAAGTAAAGACAGAAGCCAATTTACATCACAATATTGTTACAATTCACAGATTAATCATTTAAAGCTTGTTTCAGAAAAGCCTTTACATAACAATTGTAGAGATCTCGCAATTCTAAAAGAAGGTTTTGAGAAGTATGCTTGTATTAATAAGTCATATGTTTGCAGATGCTACTCTCCCCCACATACTTGCCAACACAGAGCTGTGCAAGCAAGCATTTCTATGAACACAAATTTTGGTAAAATATGGCAGAAGATAAAAACTGACACGAGTGTTGAATCATGGACTTTCTAACATTTGTGGTGGTGTTTGGTAAGTATCTGTTAAGAGTTAGTGGTTCAAAACAAAAGAAACAGGCAATTTTTCTCCGTATGTTTTCTCTGTACCTGGCATAATGCTGCTTCCTGGTTCATTTTCAGGCAGGATGAGTTCTCCTAGTCCAGAGCGTGGTCCAGAACCCAGGAAACGAATATCATTAGCTATTTTCATCAGACTACATGCCACTGTGTTCATAGCTCCACTGAGTTCAACTAGAGCGTCATGAGCTGCAAGAGCTTCAAACTTATTTGGAGCAGTGACAAAAGGCAAACCTACAGGGAGGTGGGGGAAATATTAAACCTGTGAGGCACTTCCTTGCAGATATAAACCAGATAATCAAACATATAATTAGCTGAATAAAAGTAAGAAAAATTAGTAACGCTGTAAAGTTATCTCTCTTCTCGACACCTTTCCACACAAACATATTTCTTACAACAGATTAAATTCAATACAAAAAACACAATAAAAGTCACTAAAATACGGAAGAATATGAAATCTGAGCATGTACCCACAAGAAAGGTGTAATTTTCAAACTTTCATACCATGTTGCATACTAAACATTGCTTTGCACCACAATATTTTGTGAATGTCAATAATCTCTTACAAGTTAGCCCAAACTTATGTATTTCTTCCATTAAATCAAGTTAGATTCTTTAGATTGCCAATTGTTGTGATGCTTTCTCTCACTTATGAAAATAGAGGGGTTTGTGGCATAGCGCAGACATCAGGATAAATAAAAAGTAATCACAATGGAATTAGCTACTTAAAAAGATGCATCCAAGTACCAGTACTGAAGAGAACAACAAACCAGAGAGAACATGTGAAAGCTGATTCAGACCCAGGAGGATGCCTGCAACTGCTGCCAACAGCAAGAGCGCAGAAGCAATGGAGGCAACAGCTCTGTTTACGTTAATTAAATGCCTGAGATTTAAGGCTAGGTTCCATCACGAAAAACATTTCTTCTGGGTTTGTCCTGGAAGAAAATTCTCAGCAGAATTTTATTAGTGGTAATGGACATCACTAAGGATGTGCACAGGGATGCTGACTGTGCGCTGGACTTCTGCCCCACAAAACTACTGGTCTGAGCTTACACTGCCAGTTTTAAGAAGAGTAGCATAACACCTTTGCTAGAGAAACAGCAGAATTTCTACTATGTTTCGCAGTTGCTGCCAAACACGAAATCCCACCCAATTTGCATGGGCTTCTGAATTGCATAGCTGCCTTCTCAGTTGCAGATATCATTCCAATCTTTCCATTTTGCCCTTGCCAATAAAATTCCCCTATAAGAACATGTAGAACTTCCAGTAGTCTGCCATACTTGTTTTAAACTCGTACAATCCGCCCATATGGTACACCTAACAAGCGTTAAGATGGGAGAGCTTCCTAACACCACCCATGGCTTCTTCAAGCACCAAAACAAGCCCTGTACTGCTTCTCAGCTGCTGTTGCTTATGACAAGTTACTTCTTCCCTGTCAGGGTACAAGAAAATCTTGACCGTCTGTGAGATGGTGAATAACTGATCCATTAAAACAAAAATACTGCTGATAAGCAGTTTCAGGTTTTACAGCAAACTTAAGTGAAAGATACACGCATCCATCTTGGGGGCATTTTTAAAACTGATACTGTGACACAGAAGAACTGGTTCACAGGTCAAAAAACTCAGTAGTTCTGTACATTAAGCTTTAAGATCTATAAAGACAGCACCAAAAATCAGACAGCTAACTTTTACTTTCACGTGAAAAAATGTACTGGCTTTGGGAGGTCTTTTTCTTCTTCTTTTGTGCCAAGTCACTGTAGATTAAGCGAGTCAGAGGAGCAGCCATCAAGACAGAAGCTGGACTAATAATAGAAGCTTGAAACTATATCCATCTCCAATAAGCCTTGCTAAGAAAAACGTGGTAATTTCAGTCACTGTCAATGCATTGGGTGTAACTACAAAAATACATTACAGGAAAAACCCTAAGTATAAGGCATATAAAATACAGCATTAACAGAAAGTTTCATGTTAAAACACAATTTGAGAAGCTTATGAGAAGTACGGAAACTGAAAGATTTAGTTTGAATTTGACTGCGTGTTACATTTACTGCTTTACTGGTAACTCTGAAATATTATTCCTCACCTGTCAGTTCAGCCACTTTAGCAGCAACTTTCTCAGCAAAGCCAATTCTTGTGTTTAATCCTGTACCAACTGCAGTCCCGCCAGCTGCCAGCTGATACACTCTTGGCATGGTTGACTCAATCCTAGCCACACCGTATTTAATTTGTTGCACATAGCCACTGAATTCCTTTGAAAGAAAGGCGGACAAAATAAAGGAACAAAGACAACAACCAAGAATAAGCATCTAGAATTATTTAGGTTTCTAACACAATTGGACTAATTTCTTTAAAAACCTAAAGCCACTGAACTTCGTACAGATGCTAAATCTTAGCATGTTCTCATTAAGAGGGAAAATTTACATGTATTAGAAGACTGCTCTCACAGTATGAACAACTCCACATAAAACAGCCTAACATATAAAAATGTATTCACAATGCATCTTTCTCTTGTCTTTTATCTCAGTTGTGTACTCAGCAGCATCTGAATCCAAGGTAAATCAGCTCTCAGATTAAATTAATGTTCCCAAGGTACAATTAGAGAAACAGATCCTGGGCTTTTTTCCCTTAATTTTGGTTAGTAAAAAACCCACCTGTGCATTCTTGGAAAAAACCCATAAATTTTAAACTGAACTGATAAAAATCCATGTAAGTTAATTCATTACCAGATTAATGTAATATAAGCCATTCTTTACAATATGACAACAAAGATTTCCTATCATATATATGTATAAACTTATATATATACACACACACAATCATACATCAAAGATTTTAATTCAAAATACTTAGTAGCCTTGTGTGTTGGCAAATCCTCTTTTACATAAGATTACAGATTAGAGACTAATTACCTTCTTCCTTCCAATGTCAGTGTAATAGAAATATCGCATCATGTTATTTGGTAATGGAACATGATTTAAAAATCATTTATATCTTACTACTGTTAGAAGTAAAACACACATGGAAAAAACTGAGAAAATTTATGATGCAGTAATTAGACTACAGCATCCAGCAAACTCCAATAAAGATGAAAATACCCTGACTGAGATTCAGCCAGTTTCCTATTATTTCCCTTAAGCTATCAACATAATTTAGGGTTCCTCAAGTTTGCCTCCATTTCCTCAGATATATTTACAAGACTTTTTCAAACAAATGCATAATTTATTTATTTTTTACCTGTCCAAGCGTAAGTGGAACAGCATCTTGTGTATGAGTGCGCCCTATTTTTATGATTTGGGAAAACTCTTTGGATTTTGCTTCAAGTGCATTCTGTAGCTTCTTTAGGCCAGGTAACAACACCTCATTAACCTCCTGGGCAGCAGCAATATGCATTGCCGTTGGGAAAGTGTCATTTGAACTCTGTGAAGGAAGTTCAAGAAATTTATTTACAAGTTTTTCTCACCATTGTTGCTGCAAGATGTACACATATGGCTTTATTCTCTTTATTTTATAAACATGAAGAAACTAAACTAAGAGCAAGCAACTTAGCAGTGTTCCACAAGTCAATCAGCAGGAATAATCAAATCTGCTAAACTCCAGTCCAGCACCTTCTTGATAAAGACCACTTTTTATAACTACACCCACAGAAAGTTAACTACATGAGTAGACTATTCACAACAACATTGGGTCCAAAAAAGAAAAAGATTTGTTAAAGTAGTTACGAGAGACAGGTAACAAATGGATGGATGATGTTAAAGCAATTGTAGGTGGCTTTAAAACACCTCTGTGTTGCTTTGGTAATCTTAAATCCATTCCCAGGATACTGAGTAAGAACAAAATATCAGGAAGCGATACAACCAAGTCAGTGCCTTCAACTTCTGCTAGTCTGAAGAAAATATTAAGAGCGAAGTACAATAAAAATGTCTACCATGATCCCTGGGGGGAAAAAAAAAAATGAAATGGATATTTCATTTACCCATTACAGGACTTTAGATGCTTTATTATTCTTTCTACATGCTTTATGCAATGTATTATGGAGATAACAGTTATAAGTATCCAACCTTTAGAAACTGGATCTCTATTTAACTTCTTTAAGACTGCCTGTAGTAGCAGCAGTTGTCACCAGGCCACCTCTGCCTGCTACATCATGTACGAATTCATGTCATGAATGAGTTCAAAATTTTTAATCTAAAAAGCTCATAACGTCACTGACTGAGATTTTAAAGTTCATTTAAACTGTAAAACCTGGAAAATTGTTTCCAAAGCTGTACAAAAAAATCCCCCCCCCCTTTTTTTTTTAGATCTAAACAGTGCTGTAAGACAATTCAAAATTCACAATTCCCAAAAAAATACTTTTGACATTAAAAGAAGTATAATGCAAGTATAGTGACCTGGCTTTTGTTAACATGATCATTCGGATGTACTGGGGTTTTGCTCCCCAGTTTGCCCCCCATTATCTCAATGGCTCTATTGCTGATGACTTCATTGACATTCATATTGGTCTGAGTTCCAGAACCAGTCTGCCACACCACCAATGGAAAGTGATCATTTAATTTTCCTTCAGCTACCTATAATGGAAAAAGAGAGAGAAAAGTTGTTCTACTGGAACAAAAACAATTAAAAAGTATAAACTTGAGAATTTTATAGCTATAATTCAAATAATGTTCTCCATTATATTTGTAAATATACACACAATTGTGAATTTATACCAGAATAATTGAGAATTTGATGTAATACTAGATATTAAAAGGGCAAAAAACTTTTGCTATGCCTTTTGAAGATGCTGAATTCTGAAACACAAGAGAAATATAAAATTTGATTTCATGTTCTACAGTCATAGAAATAAACTATTTTTAAAAGGTCTTTTAGGTTGTATCTTTTGTTTCCCAAACAATGCAGATGATTGTATAAGTTCAAAAACATCCCTCCCCTTCCCAAATTTTAAAGCAATTTGGATTCTAATCCTCCTGGGTAGGAACAGAGGTAGTATGTGCTGGTTCTCCCTTCCACAGTTATTTGTTCAGGTCAGTAAGATCTCCTGGGGAAGGAAAATACCTTAAATAGTTTCTCAAGCAGAGCACATAAGGTGCTTCAGGGTACTGACTCAGTGTTATGTCTCCTTGGGTCATGACCATCCTTTGGGTGTCAGAAACATCAGTTTTCAGACAGTGCTTATCTGTTTACCAACTCCTGATCAGCATGGGTGCACTGCTTTCTCCTAGGAAATCAAGTTCAACAGCAGCACAGTTTCATCGTGAACACTGATCACAACTATATAACAATTTGAATTAGAGGCATTCAGAAGTCCATTCCTTATGGGAAATAGTCCCCCAGAAGAGGTGTTTTTGCCAAAGGCCATCTGTCATGCACATGCAGTACATGGTATTTGTATAATTGGACTCTGAAATGTCTCCAGAAATAAATTTCATACCAGGAAGTTCCACACCTCTTACACCCGTAGACATCATATTTTGCATCAACAAAATGAGTGGGCAGATGGTTGCTGGTATCAAACACCTTCTTCCTGTAAGTTCTGCTTTCCCTAATACTGCCCCGGACCTACATGGCTTTAAATTGAGAGGTGCCTATAAGGGACCTGTGACTGTCTTTACTGTACCTCAAGTGTGACTGAGTATGTTACACATATAAACAAGTAAGAGCATCACATGGACTTAAAAAGATTCACAGGTATTGACTTGCTGATTACCCAGGGGAACAAAGTCCTGATCAGCAAAAAATGGCTATACCAACTTACATCTTCTGTAGGTAGGCTATGACAACTACCATCTCAAATCAAAACAGAACAACAGGTACAAATACTGTCCTGTTTGATCTGTATTTTTTTGAGCCTGCCGAACCTTATATGCATTTACAGATTTTTCAAAATGTGTCTTTGTGATAGCATCAAAATCTGTGCTCAGAAGTATCACCCCCACGCATATTAGCCTCAGAAAAGTCGAGAACGCAAAGCAAAGGATCTGTTGTCACAACTCGGAGCCTAGATAACTATCTCCAGATTATCAAGATACATCACTCCTCCTGGAATCATGTGTCCTGGTTTCAGCTGGGGAAGAGTTAATTTTCTTCCTAGTAGCTAGTATAGTGTTATGTCTTGGACTCAGTATGAGAAGAATGTTGATAACACACTGATGTTTTCAGTTGTTGCTAAGTAATATTTAGACTAAGTCAAGGATTTTTCAGCTTCTCATGCTCAGCCAGCAAGAAGGCTGGAGGGGTACAAGAAGCTGGGAGGGGACACAGCCAGGACAGCTGACCCAAAGTGGCCAAAGAAATATTCCATATCATGTGATGGCATGCCTAGTATATAAACTGGGGGCAGCTGGCCTGGGAGTGGATTGCTGCTCAGGAGCTGACTGGGCATTGGTTGGTAAGTAGTGAGCAATTGCATTGTGCACCACTTGTTTTGTATATTCCAATTCTTTTATTATTGTTATTGTCATAATATTATTATTATTATTATCATTATTATTTTCTTCCTTTCTGTTCTATTAAACTGTTCTTATCTCAATCCATGACTTTTACCTTTCTCCTTCCCATTCTCTCCCCCATCTCACTGGGGGTGGGAGGAAGTGAGCAAGCGGCTGTGTGGTGCTTAGCTGCTGGCTGGGGTTAAACCACAACAACATCATGCTTTTCAGGAAAGGATCTTATGTATTTCCCATCTTATACAGGGGCAAAGTTCCCACCTCCGAGAGTAACTTGATTCCTTGCCGTATCTCTTTCAGTTATATTAGAAAATTATTTCAGAGGTAAGGGAAAGGATAGTACTGCAGGGGTGTTTCTAAAACACAAAAAAGTCCCAAACAACTTCCAGAACCCATGAACCTAAACTAAGCAGCATTTAGCCACCAAAACTTCTGATCCACCTTTAACGAGGAGAACCCTAGAAACCACAAGAAGAGACTGCACATATTCTGGAATTCTCCAGAGCTCTTGGGACTTACGGTGCTACAGCTGGTAGAGAGAGGATAAGGTCTTCTACAAACACTGAAATATTTTGAAGCTAGTCAGAAGAAGAAAGCTCTGTAAAACAATGCTTCTAGATAAATGTATCTATTGATTTACACAAAGCAACACACCTGGTATTACCATACCTCAAATAATGGTCATTCACAACTCTGTGCACTTTGGTGGCGTTTATCCTGAGAAAGAGATGCCTGCATGTCACATCGTGTCCTCTTTAGCTATAAAAGTGATACTTCAAGAGCACAGATTTACTAGTAAGCTTAAGTCTGAAGAGGAAATAGACTAATAACAGAGGAACTTTTCAGATTGCAGATGGTCTTCACATTACCAAGACGCAATTGCTTAAGAGATTGGAGACTTCCAAAACGAAAAGGCTTTGCTTGGCATGTCAGACTTCACATTAGCTGAATGAACAGAGATTCCACTCCCCTCCTAGATATTTTTATACTGTTCAGCTGGTAAGAGTCAACACTATGCAAGTAATGAGTAGTCTTAATAGAGGGGAAAAATTACATTCTTTTTATAATTTAAGTATCAAAATGTATTTGAACATTCTATCATTTCTATAAATGTAAGAAGTAAAATAGTAATTATATAAAGTAAATTATTTCTCAACCTGAAAAACAAAATTTACTAACAATAAATGCCTTCCTCTGGCAACTTGAGAAACGCAAGAGGTGAAAAGCTTAACAAAAATACAATGGCAGTTCTAGTATTTTGAACAGTTTGTTCCTACCTCATTTGCCGCCTTTACGATAGCATTAGCAATCTTTGGGTCGAGACCATAATCTTGATTTACTTCAGCAGCTGCTCTCTTCAAGATGCCAAAAGCCCTTATAACTTGAACCTGAGACACAAAAGTAAGTTTAAATATGTAATTTTTCTTCCCCAAAGGACATTTTAGGAACCTATAGCACAGGTCTAGCTCTAAACCAAACTCTTTCTGAACTTAAATACAGCAGTAGTCCATCAACCAAACCAAAGAGCAATCAGATCACATGACCTATGGTCCCATTAACAGAAACATTTATCCAAACAGTACAGAAAGGAGAAAGAAAGGATGAGCTGTGTACTAAGTCCAGGTATGCTTTGTGTATCAAAACAGATTACAAGCATTAAAATGAACGGAAAAGGAGAACTGTTTCTATTTCTAAAACAGCCTTTTTGAAGGCAAACCAACACACGTTTCAGCACGTAGAAAGCCAGTGCAAGACAAAGCGGGTGCACACTAATGCTCTATGCACAGCTACACATGAAAAAGTAACTTCATATCAACTCACGCTACACTAAACATCTTCAACAACAAACTACATAAAGCTATAGCAAACAAACTATTCCATTCAGTCTTTTGTCCTCAGAAAAATTAAAGATAGATTTCTATTCATCCCCGTTGTTAAAAAAAGTGAAGCAACACAGTAAAATAATTATTCAAAAGCAACATTCAATTTATTTAAATAAAACAAAAAGTATTTCTAACACAGAACAATATCTTGCCAAGGAATTTTTAACTTTAATTAAAATTCAAAGTTGCTCATACTCCCAGCAAAAGTCTAAGAAGAAGGTATTCAGTCTCACATCCAAAACATACTTAAAGACAAGAAACGAACAGAGCTTTCAATTACTTACTGGCATTCTTTCTGAAACACCTCCAATCTTGAAGTTCATTGTAGATCTTACAGTCTGGGCACCGTAGTATTTGTCACTTGGGACCTTCAGTTCACCAAAGGTATCATATTCTATCCTAAAAGCCTCTTGAGTGGACTATGGAAAAGGAAAAAAAGGCATTTCAAACATTGGTAAACAGCACATCCTTTTTGAAAGCAGATACAGTTAAGAAAAAACGTGCAAGGAGGAAAAAAACAGAACAAAGACACGCAGCTAGTCATAGGTATTCTTCTAATTATATCTTCAAAGACACTTCTCTAGTTTGAGCACCTGTCTCACTAAAAGTCACAACTAATTACACTGCGTAGCCTAGCAGACCCACTGGTGAAAGGGAGCACTGCAAGAGTTAAGACCTTGGCTGCCCGCTGTACAAAACACATCATCCTGACGAAAGACTCGGTTTCTTCTTTTCGAAGAATTAGTAACTTATCTTAGAATTTATGGAACTGGTGTTTTATTAAAACCAAACTGAAGAACTAGCACAGTAAGAATTCAGGCAGCATCCACCCAGTCAACATACATGTAACAGAATCCCTGTTTGAAATCCACACTGGACATGAGACATAAAACACTGAAGGGAGCAACTGACTAATCCAGTACTGAGTTACTGACAATTAATTACCTTCTTAAGTCTAATAAACCAGCAACACAGTTGCCCTAGCTGTGCAACACAAAGAAACTGCATCTAGGTATATTTTGTGCAATATTTTTGTAAGGCAGTATTTCTGTATCACATATACACCTAGCATTTATTATTATCTAACATGGCCAGAGGTAAGTTAATTTTAGCTGACATACACCAACTAAAAAGTAATTTTTTTTACTTTTTGTGAAACAACCCATTCATTTGTGATGATGTGATCACATTCACATGCAGCTCTACAAAGATTATGGGAGCGGACAGGAAACAGGAGCAGTTTACTCTTCCTCTCCCCACGCCTTGGTCAGCAAAGTCCCAATTTTCTGTGAGAAAGGTGTTCATCCTTCCCCAGAAGAAGAGATTACCTTCTTGCAGAGTCTTCAGGAAGGGGAAGAAGTCTTTTGTAATTCTTAATCATAGATAGAGTAAAACAATCCCAGCTCCATAGGTAGGGTATATACATATAGAATGCTGGGCTCTGACCTAACCATGACCCTCAGGGGTGAGTCCTTGGGCAAGCTTTATCAGAGCATCAAGTCAGTGTTGCAGTGCAGTGAAAGAAGAAAATCAAATGTTAGGAACTATTAAGAAAAACAGAGGATACAAAAAGAAACACTGTTGTGCCACCACAGTTCATCTACACTCTTTAGTCCTTGTGCAGATTTGGTTCTTTCATCCCCAAAAAGCGTATTATTGGAACAGTTCAAAGGAAGGCACTAAAGTTGATGAAAGGTAAGGAACAGATTTCTTAAGACAACTGACTTTCTTGTTCAGAAAAGAGACAACTTGGGGACTGAAGGAAAACTGAGGTCAATAAAAGCATCAGTAGACGGGTGATGGGTATTAGCTGCTCACTGTCTCTTCCAAGAAACAGGAACCGTAACATTAAGCTAGCAGGAGTCAGGTTCAAAGCAAGGAAGAGGAAGCAGCTCTTCACACAAGTGGCAGACTGATGAAACTCCTTGCCAGCTGATGCTGTGGATACAAGAAGCCCACACGAGTTGAGGGAAAGCAAGATAAGCACTCAGAAGAAAGATCTAAATTGGGTTATCATACAAACCACAGACTCAGGAAATCCTCTGATGTGAAAATGAAGAGCCTGGGTCAGAATAAGAGGAAAGCATCATACATGTTTGCACAGTTCTTACTCTTCCCTAGGTGTCCACTTCTGAAGGCAGACCATTCCTCTCTTTTCTTCATCCATTTTACTTGCTCCTTGCTTGGTGAGTCTCAGTCTTCTTGGACAGAAGCACAACTGGGTATTGGCCAGAACAGCCTCTTCAGCAACACTGACTCTCTGCAGCAGCCTGCCCAGGTCCGTCCGCATCACCACGGATGGCAAGCTGCAGGCGGTGGTGGTGTTCCAGCCTTTTCACTGTCCTAAGCAGCGTTCCCAGCCAGGTGGAGATGCTCTGCCATCAGGTACTCCAGCAGTCGCATACCAGAGACACCAGCCCCGCTTGCTTAGGGCACTCTTGCAGAGTCGGTGGTGTGTGTGACCCAAAAGAAACTGCAGCCCAGCTCACAAACAGCAAGGGTTAGCTCTCGCATTGCTGTCCTGCTCCCCACACCTTGTGTTTTGGCTGATGCTCTTCCAGACACTGACCCCATAAGAATACAAAGCTTAGTGTGGACCAGTATGCCACCCTTACGTTCTTTAATCCTCTTTATCCAATTTTAGTCACTTAGCATTCATTTACATGCTAACAATAAACAGAACATAGTCAACGCTTCTTTAGCATCTTACTACCAAAAGAATAGGGATGCTTGTGGGTCTTACTGTACACGTGCACATATTAATATTCCAACAGTAGGGATCACTGATGCATGGTCTTTGAAATCCCTGCTTTTAGTATTTGGACGCCTTGAGTAGGCAGACAATGTCAAGCTTTCCCTAGAGCTGGATAAGCAGAACCAATTCAGTTCCAAGCTCAGCTCTTGATCTCATCAGTGGTTCAATCACTGAAAGTATCCACACTCAAACAATATAAAAAAATTAAACTACCTGTAACCTTTTAGACAAAAAAGCTAGCAGTTGCACAACTCATTCCTCAAACTTACATAATCCCAATATCAACAATGATGAAACAAAGATAAATAGGATCAGTACCTTCTCGTACAAGTACCTTTTAACAATGAACTCCTACTATTAAAAAAAAAAATTACACTCCTAGCCAATTCCACGTTACACACATTCACAAGGTCCAATAAAGTTAATGGGGTAAGGTGCTCTAAGCTGAATGTCATTTGCTGATTAATAGAGTAACAAGTGACATTAGGTAAAAAAGCAAAGTGATATTTTTCATACATACTAAACTAAACTTCAACATTACCTTCAGACTAATGTAGCAGCCTACAGAAGTCACTGTCTGAATTTTTATGTAAAAACCCTGCTTCCTCCACTCCTTAGACAGAATTCACCCTCTTGAGCGGCTTTATGAGCCAAAGATCCCAGTTCCCCTACCTAAAGCTCTTTCTGCAGTCACTCCCTGACCTAGGGAACCTGCTGTAAAATGACACAAGAGCAGCACACTTGTGTGAACCCTCTACTCCCCCACCAGCGGGCCACAGAAGCCAAAAGGAGACCTAGCAACTCTGCCACAGGCTACGGCAAACTCCTATGCTCACTTAGTTTCTATCATGGCCACAGCAAGTCTCAGCTCAGAACTACTATTCCTCACCTTTACAAAACAAACCTATATATGTTTGGGTTTTTTTTTTTTTTGAGTCCTGACAAAGTGCGCTCTGCCCTCCAAAAGCCCAAGAACCCATAGTCCAAAGGTTCCATAGGCAAATATAACTGTACTCTTGCCTTGGTGCAGGGAACTAATCAGCTAGAACTGATTGCACCACAACACGCTGGAGAGATTCACAGGGCAGTACTGCTGCAATAATGCTTCCCGTGGAAAATTACATTCTGATTTAAGGATGCAGCAACTTTTGGATATAAGTATTTCAATTCAAAGAATCATCATTGTTAGCACAGTAAAACCAATCTTTCAAGGCCAGCAGAAAATGGAATTTGTGTTCAACTGCTCTCCTCTACCAGATGAAGAACATTTCCATTTTTAAGCATCATTTCTCCTTTATAATATCGAGTCACAAATTCTGAAATTTACTCTTTAGAAACCAAAACCAAATATTTCACAACATTCAGCTGAAGAAGGACCATTATGACCACAACTCCATTTAAAACATCTTGTGCAATTTAGCTCTTAAGTTAAGGCAACACAATAGTCATACCGTAGGACAACATGCACAGTTGGTTGTGTCTACGTGACATGTTCCAAAGCAACTCTTGCTGAAAAATCTCTACATACATCAAAAAGTGGTGGTGGTGGTGGGGTTATATTTAAATACTGGTTGGTACATTTTTTGGTGGTTGCCTTGGAATAAAAACATATAAAGTTTTCCTGTAAAAATTCAACAGCTGCTTGAGTTCCAAATTCATTGAGGGACATTTTGCTCTAACTATGGCTGTTATTTAAACCCAAACAATTAATAACGCCTATTTACAGGACAAGTCATATTTCTGACCAGCAAAGATCAAAACACATGTTTTTTGTAAGATGGCAGCCTTTCATAAATACCGGGTCTTCAGCAAGTACATGAAGGCCATGACCTACAATGTCTTTCTTGGATGATACCAAACAGAAAAATAAAAGAGGGAACCATCTGACAGGCCAACGGTTTGAGTTACATAGTCTGCTCCGACACCAGTTTTCTTATACAGGTACATTTCATTCACCATGCAGTTTATTCACTCACTGGGAAGCCTGTTCTTTTAAATGCTGTTTTCTACACCTTAGTTTCACAGATTGGAAACCGTCCTAGTAAAATTTACTAACTACTTTAGTAAACGAATGAATTAATAGAATCCTAGACACCCCACTTTCTGCGGAAATTCTTCTGACAGTCTAAATTACCTCCCTGTTTTAAGGAGCGAACTTACAGAGACGCATTCGCGTCTAAGGCTTCCGTGCAACACCCCAGCTGTTCGTACTGAGGTTCAGAGTGCCTAATGCAAACAGCATTTTCGTTTCTGCCTTGAGCCACGTGGAATAAACAAGTTCCACTCACGTTCCAGCCTGACAGCCAACTGACCGCGCTTGAACAGCTGAGGATGCCCGCTAGAATTCACAGGCAGTTCTCAGCTGAAAGCCCCCTAGTTTTCAGGCAGCCCCAAAGATTTTCCAGAGAGCCCCACTTCTGCGAGGACACAGCTCTGTCTTGTCTGTACCTCAACGGCTCTAAGAAAGGGCCTGAAATTTCCAAGGGAGAAGCTGCTGGATGCCGCAGCTCTGTCACAGCAGGCCCTGCAGCAACACCTTTCCCGCCTACCCGGTCGGATGCCACCTCTTCCCTCCGCGGCCATACCGAGGCAGCTGACGGCCGTGTTCACGACGCCAATCTCCATCCCCCGGGGCAGCGCACCGGGACAGCCGGCCGCCGCGAACACCCACCAGCCCGTCCCTGGGAGCAAACACCTCCTCTGCGCCAAGCGCTGCCTCAGCGGGGACCCAGCCGGGCCCCGGCCCTCACCGCGCACTCCGCCGCCGGGCGGGGACGGGCCCCGGCCCCAGCGGAAGAAGGGAAAGAGCCGCGGAAGCTCGGCAGGGGATGGCGGGGTTAGGGCTGAAGCCCCCGGTGCCCGCCATTCCCTCAGGCAGCGCGCGGGCGCCGGCTCCCCGGCCTCTCCCCCCTCCGGCGGCGGACGGAGGGGCGCGAGCGCCGGCGGGCGCAAGGGGGAGGAGTCACGGCGGCAACGGCTGGCTGTGGCAGTTAGAGGTCACCGCCCCCCCCCCCCCCACCCCCGTCGGGGCGCTCACCATGGCGGAGCGCAGCGGCGGG